CCCCCCCCCCCCCGCCCCCTTCCGCCCATGCTAGGTTCATGGCCGCCCAGTCAGGACGAACCGGCGTTGCCATCGAGCTCATCAAGAGCGGCGCATTCACGGGGCCCCAGGGGAGGCACCGCTGGAGCCCCCTCATGCAGAGCGCCCACAGGGGCTACCTGGAGATCGCTGAGGCTCTCCTCGAGCACCAATGTCCCCCGGACTCGCGCAACGAGCAGGGCTGCACCGCCCTCCACCTCGCCGCCTCCGCCAACCAGGCCGGCCTCGTGAAGCTCCTGCTCGACTACGGCGCGGACCGCGACCTGGAGACGGTCGAGGGGGCCACGCCGCTGCAGTGGGCGGTCCAAGAGAGCCAAATGGAGGCGGCCGTTCTCCTGACAACCTACAGGCCGTCCGCCGTGCGGCGGCCCCCGGACAGCCTGCACCTCTGCGTGCTCCGAAACGACTTGAGGGGCGCGCGGGACCTGCTCGATAGGGGGGCTCCGCCGAATCACGCCGACAGAGACGGGGTTACCCCCCTCCAGAGCGCGGTTCTTATCGCGTCGCCGAGAATGGTCGAGGTCATGCTGCGCGGGGGCGCCGACGAATCGGCAGCGCTGCCCGCGGCCCGCGCGGGGGGCAAGGCCAGCGTGACCCCGCTGGCCCTGTCCTCAGCGAGACTGTCGGGACGACGGCAGGAGTGCGCCGACGCCCGCGTCGCGAGGGCCAGGGTGCGCGTGCGGGACGCCCTGTTGAGGGTGGGCGCGGTTCGTGCGGGGTGTTGGCGGTGGCCGAAGCTGCTGGAGGTGCTGCCCGCAGCGAGCGGTGAAGGAGTGGCGATGAGGAGCGCGTTATCTTCGGCGGGAAGAGCGGTCCAGGGAAAGAAGGGGGTCGGTTCTGGTGGTGGTTTGGGGGCGTCTTGGGGCAGGGGGAGAATACCGGGCGTTGGGCTGGTTCGGCTCGGGAACCGTGATAGAAGCAAGAGAGCAGCGCTGATGACGACGACGGCGTTGAACAGGTGAGCGTTTTCTGTGTTCCCTGTTACGATGTCGTTGATTGCTTCGCGGGTTTGCACTTGTGCCCTGCCGGTCTTTCAATTGTATTTCGATCGTTCATGCGCCCTCAGCTTTTTTGGTTGTTTTGTGCTCAATGTGTTGCACCCTCGGCGCTTTGGCCAGGCCGGGCTCACAGACGCTCTAACTTGTCACCAGCCCTGCGCAACCTTCCTCGTATGATGCTATGGTGCTTCTAGAAAACATTCGCGCGGACAGTGCTAATAGCATGTACACACACGCGACACAAGACACAACTTGCATGCAATTTGCTTGCGTGGGCGCGAGAGAGGGACGCCCCGCGCATCCCCCTGCGTAAATTGGGTGGGTGCATGACAGGGGATTGCGTCATGATGACACGCTTGTTTTGCCCCTTGCGGATTGTTCGTTGCTTCCGCTCTACCAGATATGTATCTAGGTCCGTGTGCAAGCAGGACTTGGAGGGATGAGGCGCGCTCGCACCCCTTGGGGACGGGTAGCCCCGATCAGCGTCGGAGGCGAAAGCCGTTAAACAATGAGTGTGGCGGGGTGTGAGGCAAGCGCGGGCCAGCCCTGCAAACACCAAGTTTCTTCGTGTTTGCGTAGGATAGGTGAGGGCGTGTCGAAGCTATCTCGAACGTTGCTGATCGAACGCTGTGGTCTGGACAATTATTGAAGAGACTGGGGGCAGGTAGGTGCTTGTTTTGGTGCCTGTGCGGGCCTCGGAGCTTGGGGAGCAACACGTTAGTTTGCCGCGCTTGCTGTCTGTGAGGGTTCGCTCTATCCCTGTAATAGCTAGCTACTGCTCAAGCTCCCTCACCAATTCCACGGGCCACAACGACGCACAACATCCACGAAACGAAAGCGTGTATCTCAAGCGTGGGTCTCATGGCTGAACCGGATATCTCTACTCTTTGTTACTTGAGGCTGTCGATCGGTCGGTGTTTTTGCTGTGCATCTGTTGTTCCTTTTGGTGTCGCGTCATTTGGGTCGGACTCCGTTGGCTGTGATGTTCTGGAGCTGCACGCGACAGTGCCAAGTATTAAATGCGTGAAATGGTGAGGCATCCTCTTGTCAAAGTGAGGGTTAAGTCTGTGGCGATTGTGTTCGTGCTGTGCGTAATAAGCCTTAAGATGTACCACATGTATCCCACGCAAACGACGTTGGCGTGGAAGCATGCTGGAATATGATTGCTCAAAAAGCCACAGCACCACCCGAATGACGACAGTATTCGATGTTGTGGGTTTCGAATTAGTCGGATGTTTGCAGGGGGGTTCTCGTCCCGCCAGTTGCAGGAATCTCGTAGAATTCGATGCGTAATCGAAGTCCGAGCCATGACTTCCTTGTCTACGGGCGGTTTCGTGTGCCTGCCTGTGTCTCCAAGAGTTTGCGGTTGTATCTCTCTTTCGCGATTACAGTTCCGTTTTTTTTGTGTTGCGTTGTGGCGGTTGCCACTCCTCTGGTACCTGTGGTATATCTCTCCTGTTGTTCTTGCTATTGGATCATATGCGCGGACAATAGGGTCACCGCAACATGTTTTGTCGGGGGGGGCTGTTTTCGGGGACAAGGGCACCACCGGAGATTATATCTGCACTCCATGGTAGCAATGCTCGACGGTTTCGTCGATCCGCAGGCCGTGGTGCATACAATTGCAGGCTATTAGCGCTCGCTGTAGACGATGTGCTTTTATCGTTCCAGTTGAGGCGTAACGCGCACCTAAGGGAGTGGTTGCTATGGAAGGAAGGATGGTCTCTGTCGATCCGTCATTTGCGGACTTGACAGCAAGCAGTGTTGCGTTAGTGTTTGGTTGACCGTTTTGCGTTGGTGTAAGGTTGACCGTTTGCACTCGAGGAAGTGAAGAACGCACCAGACTTTAATGTGGAGGCCTCGGCGAGAGTGAGGAGGAAGAACAAGGGAAGCCTTTGGTGTGAAACCGGCTGACATGGCCTCTCTAGCAAGCGCTTGTAAGACTGGCTCAAGCAGATTCAAGGAGATGAAAATACGGTTGTCAGCCAAGCGTATTCCTAGCCCAAGGTGTTCCTATCATATTCAGAACAGTAACACCCAGTTAGGGCGAGGGGCGTAGATTTGTATGTGGACGGTCCGCGACAAGATCGACGTTTTCGCGGCTCTCGCCACTGTCTATCCATCCATGTACAACTGTAGTGTTGTTATCACGGCACTCACTCCTAAATGAGACTAGTAGCCTTACCTTGAGCGTATTGGGTCAATCGTGCCCGAAGAAAGGGTGCTTGCTTGCAACAATATTTTGGTAGCTCGTCACATGGCACGTCTCATCTCTCTTATATCACTCGCAATATCAAGCAGCAACCCTTGTGCGTTGTTCATGTACTTAGGCGTTGAAAGACCTCCCCGCCCACAATAGTGGGCGGCGTAGCCCGAATATCAAGGAAAAATATGGTAGGAGTGCAATGTACGGCGAGGTAGAGAGGGAGGAGGGGCGGGGCGACACAAAGAGTGAAGTGCTGTGAGGTAGGTACGAGGGACTTGGCGCACTCACCTTGACTTAATGTGCCGTCTTGTATGACTCGGTATAGCCCATGAATAAGGATGCAAGGCTTGGCATTGTCCCCGTCAGTCATGTGGAGAACGAAAAATAAATAGATGAGTTCGTTTTCGTTTGCACGTTTGAATTCATGTGCCCTCTTGTTAAACGTATGGCGTTGTGTGTGCGTCAACAGATATCCCGTTCATTGATCGAGTTTTCTCCTCCTTTCGCTACCACAACAATGTCTGTCTTGCGTCCATCGGGGGTCCCTCCCCGCTTCCATTCTCAAGCCTGAAGGACGATCATGTTACAAAAGGGTACTGCTGCTGCTGCTGTAGACTACCATAGGCATAGAGTATGCACAGCAACGCCAACGTATTCATTGGGCAGTGGCCAAAATCGGGTACACACGGTCCAAACACGGCCATAATCGGGTACCCATACAAGAAGCTGCTGGGAGCGACTGCATGACACCATCTGATTGGCCAACGCCCACTCCTACCCGACCTTGACTGTCTTTCCACCGGGTGCATCCGATCTTGGCTACTGATCCCCGGAGGGGTACCCGGTTTTCCTTTCCCCTACCCGAAAATGACTCACCGTCGTCGAAGAAAGTCGCAAGCAAGGCGCAGGAGAACTTTGTTCAAATTGAGGAAGATGTCCAGAGGTTCAGTTAGGAAGGGAGAAGTTGTTATGGTGGGCGATTTCAACTCCAGACTAGGGAAATCTTCCAGTAGAGGACAGGCGATCGGGCAGCACGGAGAAGACAAAGTGAATGACAACGGAGTGAGGATGCTTGAATTCTTGGGAAGCAACGAACTGATGGTGTTGAACGGTAGAAGGGAATGCGATAAGCCGGAGTTCACCAGGCAACGGGCAGCTTGCAATGAATACTCGATCCTCGACTACATCCTGGTAGATATAGGGGGAGCACGCAGATCCCAGAGCTGCACGTAAGTGCGATACATATAGTTTCGACCGACCGCTTCCTCATATGGGCAAACATCGACCGATCTAGAAAGATGGAGAGTAGGAAACAGAGGAAATTGTTCAGGTGGAACGTAGAGCGTTTGGGAGACGAGGGGACACGGGATGAATTCCAGAAAGGACTGGCTGGTAGTGTAGAACCCTTCAGGAAACTGGAGAGAAGCGTCGAAGACGGACAGGGAGACGTACAAGCAGCAGGGGACAGGGTGATTGAAGGGTGGGAGTCCATCGTGAACGCAACAGCCGAGAGAGTAGTGGGAAAGAAGGTGGTACGATGTGGGGTATCGGTTAAGTGGTGGGATGACGAGCTGAAAGAAGAAATAGGGGAACGTAGAGAAGTCTTCAAGCAGTACCTGAGTGAGGCGTCTGAGGAGAGTTGGGAAAAGCACAGGGCCAAGAGAAAACAAATGAGGGACTAGTGAAAAAGAAGAAAGTGTATTTGGGACGACGTAGTGCAGAAGGCCAACGGAGGCCTGGAGGGGAACGTCAAGCAGATGTGGGAAGGGATTAGTGGAATGGTATTAAAGACCGCGCAAGGGGGGGGATAAAGGGGTCGCAACTTTGCGAGGTGTGAACGGTCGATTAGTCAGCAGTGGGAAGGGAAAAAGGGAAGTCCTAGCAGGACACTACAAGAGACTTGGAGTGCCCTCGGAGAATGAAGCTTTTGACCAAGTGTTCAAGAAGGAGGTGGACGCATGGGCCCAGAAAGAAGAAGAGACATTGAAGGCAGACGTTGGGAACGTAGAACTAGAAAAGGAGTTCACTGAGGACGAGGTTGAGGCGTGTGTGAACAAGGTGAAGTGCCACAAAGCAGCAGGAGCTGATGGGAGAGTCAACGAGTTCATGAAGTTTGGCGGGAAGGGGATGATCCAGCTGATGGTAATGCTGTACAATTGGGTGTGGAAAAACGAGTATACGCCAGTAGCTGAAAGGAAGGAGTAGTTGTGAACTTGTTTAAGAAAGGAGACAAGACTGACCCAGGAAACTTCAGGGGGATCACACTGTTGAACACAGGTGGAAAAGTATTCTGTAAGCCGCTGAACGATAGGATAGTGGGAGTATTGGAGAAGGAACATAGCATTAGTGAGGGCCAGGTAGGTTTCCGAAAGGAGAGGGGGTGCGTAGACCACGTATTCACGGTAGGGAGAATCATCCAAGGTAGAAAGGGCGGAAAAAAAGCCGACGTACTGCTCCTTCCTGGACGTGCACAAGGCATACTACACCGTATGGAGAAGTGGGTTGTGGAAACAACTGTCCGAAAACGGGATCAAGGGGAAAATGTGGAGAGTGCTGAAGAAGATGACAGAGTGTACGAAAAGCGCGGTCATGTTAGACGGAGAACTGTCTTAAGTCTTCGACATTGAGCAGGGGGACCCACAAGGTTGCACGCTGTCCCCAACATTGTTCCAGGTGTTCATCAACGATCTGTTGGAAGTCGTAGAGGCAGTCCGGAAGGGAGCAAAAGTAGGGGACACGGAAAGGTCGGTTTCGAGAATGCTGTTTGCGGATGATTTTGTCGGTATGTCGGACACCCCTGAGGGACTGCAACTGCAAATTGACGCGGCGAAGAAGTTTACTGATAAGTGGACATTGTCTGCCAGCGTTAAGAAGAGTGCCGTCATGGCATGCAACGAGAACAAGGAAAAACCAGTTGAACATCGATGGAAGTGGGGGATCAAAGATATTGCAGTAGTGGACCAGTACACATATCTCGCAGTAGGGATCGCAAAAGACTGCTGGTGGAATGCACACATGTCCAAGGTAGCGGAAAAGGGCAAAGCACGAGCAGGGAAGCTGCACCCAATACTCGCAAACCGGCACCTCGATACACG